AGAAAGAATGCTGAGTTGCATCCAAAGAACACCATACCCACTGTGAAACATGGGGGTGGAAACATCATGCTTTGGGGCTGTTTTTCTGCAAAGGGACCAGGACGACTGATCCGTGTAAAGGAAAGAATGAATGGGGCCATGTATCGTGAGATTTTGAGTGACAACCTCCTTCCATCAGCAAGGGCATTGAAGATGAAACGTGGCTGGGTCTTTCAGCATGACAATGATCCCAAACACACCGCCCGGGCAACAAAGGAGTGGCTTCGTAAGAAGCATTTCAAGGTCCTGGAGTGGCCTAGCCAGTCTCCAGATCTCAAGCCCATAGAAAATCTTTGGAGGGAGTTGAAAGTCTGTGTTGTCCAGCAACAGCCCCAAAACATCACTGCTCTAGAGGAGATCTGCATGGAGGAATGGGCCAAAATACCAGCAACAGTGTGTGAAAACCTTGTGAAGACTTACAGAAAACGTTTGACCTCTGTCATTGCCAACAAAGGGTATATAACAAAGTATTGAGATGAACTTTTGTTATTGACCAAATAAGATAAATTCTTTAAAAATCAATGTGATTTTCTGGATTTGTTTTTCTCATTTTGTCTCTCATAGTTGAGGTATACCTAGGATGAAAATTACAGGCCTCTCTCATCTTTTTAAGTGGGAGAACTTGTACAATTGGTGGCAGACTAAATACTTTTTTGCCCCACTGTATATGCCTCTCCCTGCTTCCACCGTCTACACACACACAACCAAATTATATCAATACCATGAGCTTATTGCTCCTAAAAAGTGTTTCTGGCACGGACACTAATCAACAGTTGTGCGTCGACTCGGCAGGGATCAAGGCACGTATATGCCTCTCCCTGCTTCCACCGGCAACACACACAACCAAATGACATACCATCAGTAAGGAAAAAGAGTAAGAACTAAGATGTATAGGTGAAGAGGCACAACGTGTCTACATCAATGCACTCTTATTAGATTATTTTATCTGTCTGCTCTCTGTTCCGAGAATAACCACTAAACATGGAAAAGCAGCTTTTAGTTATTATGCCCCAACAATTTACAAACTGCCTAAATCGTGCACGTCCGCCGAAACACTTCCTATTTTTAAATCCCGACTAAAAACGCACCGATTTGCAGCTGCTTTTAATTGAGCTGCCCATACTCACATACGTCCCTGCTGTGTTTATTTATTTATTTTATTTCATTACCTTTGCTTATTATGCCTGTTTTTAAATGCCTTTTTAATAATGTATTTATGCTGTATTTGTTCTTAAATGTCTTTTGCTTTTAGTCTGTAAATCACTTTGAATCGCCACGTGCTGAAAAGTGCTATATAAATAAAATTGCCTTGCCTTGCCCCTTGCCTTATCAACTATATACTTTATCAAAAAGGAAGGTTTTAAGCGTACTCTTAAAAACGGATAGGCTGTCAGCCGCCCGAACACAAACTGGAAACTGATTCCACAAAAGAGGCTCTGGCTCCCATTGTACTTTTAGAGACTCTCGGAACAACCAACAACGTGCATTTTTGGAACGCAATGCCCTAGTTGGACAGTAGGGTATAATGAGTTCTTTAAGGTAAGATGGCTCCTGCCCATTAAGGGCTTTGTAGGCGAGAAGAATTATTTTAAATTATATCCTGTGTTCTATAGGGAGCCAGTGTAAGGCAGCCAAAACTGGAGTAATGTGGTCCCTTTTCCTTGAGATACATTTTATGTGGGCGTTGAAAGATAAATCCTGATCAAATATAACACCAAGATTCCTTACAGTCTCACTGGAGGCCAAATTAATGCCATCCATAGTTAATATATCTTTAGATAGTTTGTTTCGTAGATTCTTTGAGCCGAGTACAATAACTTCAGTTTTGGCCATGTTTAACACAACAAATTTAAGGTCATCCACGTTTTTAAGTCCTTGAGGCAGTCTTGAATTGTATTTAAATGATTGGATTCATCAGGCTTGATGGATAAATATTGTTGAGTACCATCCGCATAACAATGGAAATGTACAGAATGATTCCTTATAATATTGCCTAACGGAAGCATATATAATGTGAACAAAATAGGTCCAAGCACTGAGCCCTGTGGCACTCCATGGCTCACTTTGGTTTGCATGGAAGATTCATCGTTGACACACACAAACTGAGACCGTTCAGATAGATAGGATCTAAACCAGCCTAAAGCAGTTCCCTTTATGCCAACTAAGTGCTCTAGTCTTTGCAGGGCCGCCCCTCCCTACAGGCCAATCACGCAGGTTGCATGGGGCCCCGCCTTGCGCAGGGGGCCCTGCCCAGAGGGCCTCAGCTGCTGTGCGCAGTTCTCCACTCAGTTCTCCGCGCACCCCCCGCGAGAGTGAGAGTCTGTAACCCGACACCGTTGCAATGAATCGACATCTTACCAATCACGGCTTTGATACGGCCACTAGTGCAGGTGAAGAGATGTCGGTGAAAAGACAGTTTCAGTCCGGCGCAAGCAAGAGGAAAAAAAAAAAAAAAACATGAAGAAACTACAGCATCACTCAAAGGTGGGTTATTGTATGAGTCAAATGTACAACTTGCGAATGTTGTATAAGTCAAATTGCCAATTGCCATATTAAAACATCAGCTGCAATTCACGACATGAAGAAGGCCGTCTCTGCATAGCATATAGGCTATGGAGATGCAGTTATTTCCAGCATTCTTTATTTACCATTCATTCAAGTATGTTATGCCTTTTATCTGCTAATGTACAGGAGGAAGAGTGATAAACTGTCTGTCTAGTTGGCTTACATAACAGTTAAAGTTTACAGCCTAAAAAACATGGAGCATTTTTTCCCCTTTTATTAATTTGTATGTCAATTTGCACATTTCATGGTGATGCTCAACCTCTCCCCTTAACTCCTAACAGTCATCATCATGTCAACCACAACACAGAGAAATACTGATAGAAATGTGTGTGTAGTTGTTGATACATTGCTGACAGAGGGAACTACATTTGAATACAGATTTAAGAAATATCAGTTTTTGAGCATGTCATAAGCATGTTTTGTCTTGACTATACAACTATATTATAATAAAATAATATAGTATTTATATTATTGAATTGATTATGATTATTATTATTAGTAGAAGTAGTTTATTTGCATTAATTATATTTTAATCTTTTTGAGGCTAGTATTTGGCAGGAAATGCAGACGTATTCACCTGTAAACGCATATTGAACGACATGCACATTTACCATTTACCTCACTGTATAAAAAAGTAACTGTGTTGATAATAATAATAAACAGGAATTATATTTGCAAAGTAGCCTACTTTGTTTCCAAAAAAAAAAGTTCACTCCTGTCGGTTGGGGGAGGGCTCATCTCACAATGTCGCTTGGGGCCCCAAGTTGGCCAGGGGCGGCCCTGAGTCTTTGCAATAGGATATCATGGTCGATAGTATCAAATGCAGCACTGAGATCGAGCAAAACAAGAATAGAGACAAGTCCTTTGTCTTAGGCTATGAGAAGGTCATTTGTGACTTTAACCAGAGCTGTCTCTGTGCTATGGTGTGTTCTAAAGCCAGACTGAAAATCTTCAAATAAATCATTGTTTTTTAAGCAGTGTTGTGCTAGTTACTGAAAACCAGTAACTAGTTACCATTACTAGTTACTTCATGTCAAAAGTAACTCAGTTACTTTACTAGTTACTTAAACCCAAAAGTAATGCGTTACTGTGAAAAGTAACGTTTTCGTTATTTGAAAAAAGGGCTCCCATTAATGCCCTTATAGCCTTCATTTCAGTACTGTTATTGCATTGGAGAATAATACAATCTGTTGATCAACTTGACATGCATTATATGCAATCTGGATTGCATCGATATTAGCTGGCTTTCCATTTTTGTATATTCTTTCTCCAGGTAGTTGTAAAAAGTGTTCCGTCCCATATGCCGTGTGCCGCCCGGACATGCTATCATGCTAACTAGCTCCCTGAAAGCGGGTGACTCCACTGTAGCAATAGCCTGCATGTGTACAACATACCGTGCAATGGCTTTATCGACTTTTCCCTGGCTAGCAGTCCTTTGGTTAAAATCCAGCCGCTGCTGCTTAGGTGGAGGTGGAGTGGCGTCGGCTGAGTCTCTGTGGTCTTAGCTACTAGCTTCGTCCCAGCATGTTGTTTTTGCAGATGTTTTAAGAGATTTGAATGACTGGTTTGGGCAGTAGATAGGATCTTTGACCCGCCAAGACACAACTTACATTTAACTAAAACGTTCTTTTCTTTGTGCTCGACAAAAGTGAAATAGTGAGAATATCTCCAGGTGGAGAAACTAGACTTGAGCTCCGCCGCCGCCATGATAGTCTTGTTAGTAAACAACACAAACACGCCCACAGCGCGTCTCCGCATGTGACACAGGAAGTATCTAAGTACATTTACTCAAGTACTGTACTTAAGTACAGTTCTCATCTCTGTTCGCCTGGCTGTTGACTATATAAAAAAACTAACGCAGTAACGGAGTAACGCACCATGTAGTAACGGTAACTGCGTTACTGAATTTAAAAAGTCATGCGCTAGAGTACTAGTTACTGCCAAAAATAACGGCGTTAAGTAACTTGTAACGCGTTACTCTCAACACTGTTTTTAAGTAATCACACAACTGTTTTGCGACGACTTTTTCAAGAATCTTTGAGAGGAACGGAATATTAGAAGGTTGGCTAAAAACTCTGGATCGAGGTTGTGCTTTTTAAGAAGAGGTTTTATCACTGCTACTAAAACCTTGGTTAAGCTAATAGGGAAATAACCAATTGTATCTCAACATTACATTTGACTTCCCTCAAAGGTATTCCAGCAAGACAGTTCATCCACACCGTCTCTTCCCAAATATAATATCCCTGTGTCGATCCAATTACTTTAATCATTTTGACACTGCTTTGCAGTAAGCATACTATCTGGCTCATGAAAAACATTTTCATTTTGCAGTTCATGCATCGTTTAGGAGATATTAATCACTCATTGCTTTAAAACAAAGAAAAGAAAAAGACACATTTTAACAATTAAGTCTATTTATCACAAGGTTTATTCAACATGATTACATTCCTCGTGGAGTTTTGAAGTTCATTCCAATAGTTGGCTGAGTGACTTGAAGGTTGGAGAGGCCACCGAAATCCTGCAAAAGGAAGAAAAAGACATTTATGATTTGGGAATATATATACATCACCACAGGGTTATTTATATGACAAACACTTTATAATAAGGGAACACAACATATACTTAATTAATGCATGACTCATGCGGACTATTTGAATGGCTCACACTTAATAACTTGCCTTTAAAAAGGTTATATTAGTGTGCAGTTACTTCTTCAGTAACTGCTATTTATATCATATTTTACATTAAAAATCCTGTTGATAAAGAACCCTTGAGACAGTTGATCTAAAAGCTGTCTGCAGCATCCACAGAGTGAAGACCTTCATAAGACATGTGTGCAGATTTAATTTTGCAATCTTGTTAAAAAGATTCTTAGCACAGTGATGTTCTCAGTTGGCAGGGAAAGCTTCAATTCTTTAAACACAGGTGCAGCTTTTAGCGATTCATTTCTTTGTTTATGTGTAGTATTTATGGCGGCTTAATGCCCAACCTTAAACACCTATCAGTAACGTAATAAGTTACACCTGTTCTAGTCGCCTATTCTTTCATGAGGGTTTTGCCCCTTTTTTTTTATTTCTACAAATGTATATGTGTTTTTATCTGAATGAAGTCATCTTTCTTTATTTACAAGCTCAATACATAACTTGATTTGGTTTTAAAAGTCAAAATCTCTCTGGAATTTTAACAACAGCGAGAATCTGCAGAACAAAAAGTTCTACCCGTCACGAAGAAAGCAGAACGATATGTTTCACACTTACCAGCATCTTGAGCATGTCCTTTGTGTCAGGATCCACCTCGATGAGCTCGTGGTCCAGAGCAGAAAACTAAAGGGCCGAATTAAAAAACAAATTAGCCACCAAATTGTGTCTTGTTTAACATGTTCAATTCAAGTTTTTGCAGTTTACATGAAGTTAAAAAAAGTGTTTAGACTGTCAGTAATACCAATCATTATCAATCGAACCACTTACAAAACCTGTACGATTTTTGCGAGTTTTCAAAACAAAAACATTTTTATGTCCTATGAGCCTAGGGGTGGGCGTTAACTGGAATGTACTTGATGTGGTACAGCTTGTTTACAGGGGATCGCCCACTCCTGCAGGAAACACTCAGAAACCAAAAGAGACGGGGTCACAGACCTCTGGGACGTAGTTGTCTCTCCTCTCTCTCTCCTCCTCCTGCAGCTTGATGGAGATTCCTCTGACTGGACCGCGCTGGATGCGTTTCATCAGGTGAGTCACATACCTGAGAGACAGACAGGGGGTTATTATTATACTGATGGGAGAAACAACAGAAGACATTCATATTTAATGTCATAAAATTCACCCTATCAAGTTAAAATATTAAATATAAGTTGTCTATAGATTACAACATGCCATTCTTTCCACTGTTTCATGTAAGTGTTACTTGATTAATTGCTTAGTTAAAACATATGGAAGAGAAAACTATCTGGCAATAATCAGGTTATCAATTAAACATATTTTAAAATGACCCTGCAATTTAAAAAAAACTGATGAAGGTATTATGTTTGTTAACCTAAGCGATTGGGCAACTGCTCTCAAATTCACAATAAAATATTGTGAGTCACATTCTCTAAGACAAATAATATAATGGGAAAATGTTCAATGAGACACCACAATGGCCAACCCAGCATTCTGTAGCATCAATATAAATCATAGGAAATCAATCAACTCGGCAACAATCACATTGTGGCGTACCACAGTTTGAGTAGAGCAAAATCCCCAAATTTGATTAATTTAACTAAAGTGCTTTGCATTAAAAACCTAATAAGCATGAGCACTAGGGCTGCACGATATTGAAAAAAACTGACATTGCGGTTTTTTGTTCGTCTGCGATATATATTGCGTTTTTTTTTAACCTGTTAAGCCCCAAGGTCCCGACGGGTACTTTACTTTTTTTTTCACGACACTGTCTCAGGGGATCTTAATATTTAAGAACCTATTAATGTGTTATACCAGATTAACGGAAATAATCTCAGCTAACTGACGATATAAACCATTTTTACCAAAACAAAACACAAGTCTCATAAGCGAAAAATGCTAACGGACTTTGGCACAGAACTCAAGATAAAAGTACCCTTATTACTTATCGTAGCTACACATACAAGATATCCGATTAAAGCTGAGGTTCCACAGATTATTTTGGTATATAGTATCATCACTGAGTGATCCGAACTCGCGACAGGGGAAGCAAACACAGACATCACAACACGTGAACGGCTGAATCGGTTAATCCATAGGTTTTTAACGTCTCTGTATAAAAAAATGATTTCATTTATAATCCATAATTCCATTTTTATGTAAAAATCGCAGAGCAAAAGTTAGCTGCTAATGGTAGCCACCAGAGTGGCTGCTGCTTCCGGTCTTGGCTATGCAGCAGTCTAATGGCACGTTTCCACTGCAGGCCTCGCTCGGTTTGGTTAGGCCTTTTTAGGCCCGGCTCACTTTAATGCTGCGCTTCCATTACAGTTTAGGAACTGGGGTAGTATATAGTAACGCAGTGTAGGCGGAGCCGTGACGTAATCTTCAATGAGCGCCCCAAAAAACAACACAGCCGTTAGCTCTTAGCACTCAGAGCTCACAGCTCTTCATATCTGTTCAGAAACTAGACAAAAGTTAAAGTACAAACCACAGACTGCCTGTGTCATGGCGAATACAGTCGCTGGTTTATTTATGTCTGTATAGGCCGTTGTTGTGAGTGTGGACGGTCGGATCATATATAACGTTAGCTTAGCCAAGCTCCATTTAGAAAGCACGCATTTTAAAAAGGGTTTTTCGCCTGCCTGTCTGCAGACTTGTCAAAGCATTAATTCATGGTTTTTACTAATCGGTATCAGTATGTTGTTACTTCGGCATCATTTTGAAACGTGTATTACAATTAAATCACGGTCAAATATGTTCATCTTGTTGTAGTTGTAGCCCCCTTGCCAGCGATTCTCTCTCTAGTTTAGCATACTCAGCCCGACTCAGCCTGGTTGTTCCTGGCCCTAGAACCACGATTTCGTCGGGCCAGAAAAAAGGTGAAAAAGTAGCCCCGGGCCAAAACTAGGCCAAGTGGAAACGCAACCAAAAACGGGCTCCGCACGGCTCCGCACGGCTCGGCACGCTTAAAGCGAGCTACCCGCTGCAGTGGAAACGCGCCATAACCCACACACATTACCAAATAAGGAGTGAGAGTGACGCGTAGCCAAAACCGGAAGCTGCATACACTCTGGTGGCTACCATTAGCAGCTAACTTTTGTGCTCCGATTTTTACATAAAAATGGAATTATGGATTATAAACAATTGCTTCAAAGCCACAGATACATTATTAACCTATGGATTAACCGATTCAGCCGCGTTTCTCGTTTTAATGCCATTGAACACGTCTTTTGATCAGATTGACAGCTACGGTGAGACAATCTCCCGTAAAAGCTCTGTAAAAGGTACGTGTTGTGATGTCTGTGTTTGCTTCCCCTGTCACGAGATCGGATCGCTTAGATACTATACTTAATCTGTGGAGTCTCAGCTTTAATCAGATATATTGTATGTGCAGTTTCGATAAGTAATAAGTGTATCTTTATTTTGAATTCTGTGCTAAAGTGCGTTAGCATTTTTTTTTTTTTAAATGAATAAAACCGCACGTCCCTGCGGTGTGAATATCGCGAATGCGCATATCGCGGTTATCGCCATGACACGGTATATCGTTCAGCCCTAATGAGCACAACTGACATCCAGCTGTCTCAAAAAAGTAAACGAAATGAAGGGTACTACAGTCTGCTCAATACAAAGGTGGGAGCTACAAAAACACTTTTAATCAAAACATAAACAACTGCAATACAATAATCCGATAGGGCATGTGAGACAGCGACCCTTTAGCGGCAGGATTTCCAGGGAAAGAATCGAGAATGGGAGAAGGTATAGTTGCAAACCATCGTGACTTTATTTAGCAAACACCACAAGAGAACAGCCAGCCAGCATGTAGGTGTTCACCCCTACCCTCCGACTGAAGACTGGCTCTTTTATAGAGGATCTTATTGGGAGAAACCAGTCAAAGGTAATTTATAATAAATACAAATGTCATCATAATGGTTATAACGAATATCTATAATATTATGTGCAGGCATGATTAGTGGTTTATAGACATCTGTTACATTTCAGCCAAAACCCACATTATAACCGACCATAATAAATAAAAATACATTCCCAACTAAAACAGAAACCCCTACGCCCATCTCGCCACTTGGTTCGTCCGGAACCTTCTTTGGCCAGTGTTTGTTTCCCCGAGGACCTTTTGGCCGAACACACTGGAGTGGACACAGGACGAAACAGCATGGGTACGTGATGGACGTAAACTTTACACAGTGTTCACTTCTCAATTAATGCAACTTAACGTCATGATATATTAGTGCTGTCGACGTCGACTTCAAAATATCGTCGACGACATATTTCCGCGTCGACGCGTCGCTACACACACGTGGGTCACCCAAAGCAACAAGCAGTTCGCAATCGCACTTCAAACACAATGGAGACTGAAACGGCTACCACCTCCTCCTCACAGGATTGCGCACGAAGCCCCCAAACGAAAACATCTCGCCCTAGGTCTTCAAAAGCATGGGAATATTTTAAAGTTAGTCCAAAACGCAAAGATATTTATATATTTATATCTCACTGAGACTGCTGCATAGCCTAGCAGAAGCAGCAGCTAGCTGTGGTGGCAACCATTAGCAGCTAGCATTTGCTCTCCGATTTTTTACATAAAATGGAATTATGGATTATAAATTCAATCATTTTTTTATACATAGTCGTTAAAAACCTATGGATTAACCGATTCAGCCGCGTTTTTTCTCATTTTAATGCCATTGAACACGTCTTTTGATCAGATTGACAGCTACGGTGGTGAGACGATCTCCCTAGAAGCTCTGTGAAGGTACGTGTTGTGATGACTGTATTTGCTTCCCCTGTCGCGAGTCCGGATCACTCAGTGATGATACTATATACCTACATAATCTGTGGAGTCTCAGCTTTAATCGGATATATTGTATGTGCAGCTACGATAAGTAATAAGGGTACTTTTTATCTTGAGTTCTGTGCCAATGTCCGTTAGCATTTTTCGCTCAGGGGTCATTTAGATGCTTCTTATGAGACTTGTGTTTTGTTTTGGTAAACATGGTTTGTATCGTCAATTAGCTGAGATTATCTCCGTTAATCTGGTATAACACATTAATAGGTTCTTAAATATTAAGATCCCCTGAGACACAGTATCGTGAAAAAAAATTTTTTTACATTACGTTTTTTTTACATTACGTTTTTTATGAATTGAACAACAGAAAAATAATCGTTAGATTAGTCGACTAATCGATCAAATAATCGCCCGATTAATCGTTTTCAAAATAATTGTTTCCCCCCAGCACTATGATATATACACGCCAATACATATTTCATTTCAAACCTTTATTTAGACAGATAAATCCCATTGAGATCATTGATCTCTTTTTCAAGGGAGACCTGCTCAAGTAGTTCCACATGAAACATAAAAACATAAATAGAACAACAAAAGGACATCATACAGCATCATTTACATAATGATCCACATAAACAGGTACCAATAGCTTCCGATTGAGTAGCATCCAACCGAGCTTTAAAAACATTTAGTGGCACCAGATGTTCAGTTTCCATTTAATTTGCAGACTATTCCAAGACAGAGGAGCTGCGCATCTAAAAGCTGTCTTCCCTAAGACAGTCCTAGCAGTTAGCACATTTAATAAAACCACAGCATTCGATCTCAGGCAGTAGCCAATTACAATTTTCCGTGAGATCAGGGAGCCCCCCCTCCCAATTATTATTTCTATTATTATTATTGTTGCTATATATAGAAATTGTATTTATTGGGATAAACCCCTTGAGATGCACCATCTCGTTTTCAAGGGGGTCCCAATGCAGGGGTATTCAATTGCATTTCAAAGAGGTCCAGTAAGAGCAAATGTCATTAAATGCTCTGTTTTCGCGGTCTACCTTTCTCTTTTTTGAGCACGCCATTTTAAATTACTCCGACGGTTTCTCTCTTATCTGTGTGTTTTAATCTATCGTGCTGACTCACTGACTGCACCGATTTGATTGGCTGAGTAGCGTCACCTCCTTAAAACAAACAACAACTTTTTAAAACCTTTTTATCTTTATGTTTTAAACATTTTCAACATCGTTGATAAATCCTTATATGCTCCCGGCAACACACTGAACGTCAACTTTGCCTCCTTATTACACTCACCCCTACTTTAGTGGGAACAATGAGTCTGCGTCTTTGATGTGCACAGGCGGATGATGCAATGTAGACTAGTGTTGTCACGATACCAACATTTTGGTTTCGATACCAAGTCAAGAATTGCGATTCCGATTATTTTTCGATACTTTTCTTAAAAAAAGGGAAACAGTCTTAAATGTAATTATTGTGCTTTATTTCACACCATAACCATAACACAAACTTTTAAACAATGAGAACAATAAACAAAATAAATGACAATAATTCGTATTAAATCAAATTAAGCATCATCTCAAACAACTTTTTTGTTTTATAAAATATAATTTTTTAATATTTTATTAACATGTAATAGTACAGTAATATAAATAATTATTGACAAAATGTATATTGCAGATGTTAGCCATATTGGTAAGTTAGCTAAAAAGATAGCCATATTAGACAGTTATCATTGCCATTAATTGCCTCGTTTGTCACAAAATAAATTACACTGGTTTGACTTAGATTTGAGGGCATGTGCATGTTATCATGCATGTTATCTATCACATTCGCTAACCTGTCTGTCTTTAAATTCTTTAAACAGCTCTGGATTCCGGTCGGCGGGTGCTTAGCCAAGTTTGATGTGTTGGCTCCCTTGGTTTGCAGGGATCTAAAACATCTTTTACAGACAGGCCTCGTGGTGTCCGTAGGCTTGCCTTCATTGTCAGAGATATAGCTCAAATACTTCCAAATTTCGCTTATGGCGTCTTTTTTGTCAACAAGCCGAGGCGCAGTGGCAGTTGCACTCCCACTTGCAGACATGCTTCTCGTTTTCTCACATGCTCTGGCAGCTAGCGCGTGGCCGCGTGCACGAGAGAGAGGAGGGACTTAGAACGTGCTTGAGAGGGGCGGGACTGCAGGGCAAGCACGGCTGCAGTGCAGGGAGAGTGGAAGCAGAGCGCTGAACACACACGGCTCTTATTAAAACGGCGCTTTCTCACCGGAGTACTTTTCCCCGTCATTCTTAAAGTACCGATACTAATGAAACGGAGGAATCGTACCGTTTTTAACGGCAGGGTATCGCGGTACCTTTCAAGTATCGGTACACCGTGCAACACTAATGTAGACAGGAATAAACACATTTATCCGGTCAAAGATATCGGACAGATAGGCCAACATTGCAACCCAGTTCATGTCCTCCATGTGCTTGACCAGTGGGGAGTTGATTTTGGCGAGGAAGAGGAGAACTTCCTCGTGCAAATCACACAAGCTAGTGAGGACCTTGCCCCGGGACAGCCACCGGACCTCGGAGTGCAGCAGCAGCTGTGGTGGAAGTGAGTGCCCATCTCATTGCAGAGGATGGAGAAGAGACGGGCATTCATGGCGCATCAAGTTAGCTGAAGTTAACTAGTTAGGTTTCACTGTTTCTCGTTATTTTTTTCTCACGCTGCGCCTCCCCTGAAGCTCTCTGGCGCCCCCCCCGGGGAGGCACGCCTCACACTTTGAAAACCCCTCTTGGAGACAATCTAAAAAGGGACCAGCAGCTAGCAGGAGTGCATGTGTTTGTAGCATAAACTCATAAATAGCAGCACATTTAACTCACCCTGCTATCTTGTTGCGCAGAGGCTTGCTGGGGATGATGGCGATCTCCTCACACACCCTCTTGTTTGTGTGGAAGTCATTGCCCAGGCGTGTGTAGTATTTCTCGATAATGACCCTGGAAGCCTTCTTGACTGTCTTTGTCCTGACTCGCCCCTGAAGAGAAAACAGACATTTAGAGTTCATACATCTGAAAAATACAGTAATAAAGCATAGCAGATGGATATATACATTGTAGTGATCACACTGGGAATATTATTCAGCTATTTTAGAAATCAAAAAGCTCAACTCAAGTCATGTCCCAACAAAGCAAAACTATTCCCCAAAACACCTTTGGCAGGGATATATTGACTCATATAGGCAATAGGCATATCGTTTCCTCACATTACATCCCTTCAGAGGCACCGACACTCAGGGTGCACTTTTTAATAAACTCACAATGTAAGTTTAAATCCGTTAAAAGCATATTATTAGTAGTGAATATGAAGAAATTGAGAACGCTTTGTTGACTTTGACAATATAAAAATAAATCTACATCACTGCTTTCTGACCAGAAAACCATGACTCCAACTAACACAATTTTCAAGATAAATGGTATATTGAAAGAGAGATAAGAGCAGGATCATCTCCATCATACATATTAAATTATTGTAATAATTGTCCTGGATTTTGAATACACCAGTTTTTATAGCAATAATTACATATATTTCTCTAACGACAGTAAAACTCTCCTTAGAAACAAACGGCTTTCCTCCGTTACTAGTGGCAACAACGTCAAGTGGCTTTTAAAGCCCAGAGAATAACATAATCTGAACAAAAGCGGAACTTCTACTAACTCTAAATACTTCAGCACCAGTGATAGTAACCATAATATAAATAGTTGAGCATCGCTAATATTCTGGTCATGTTTACGACCGCTTGTCTGCCTGTCAGCTAGTAACTTCAGAACATTTAGCCCGTGTTTTCATATGTAATGCCTAAGAAGTGCATCCAAATCAAGCTTTTAGAAATAATAGTGCAGTATGTGTGCAAAGTGATGCTTGTAACAGCTCTAAGAGCAGACCATCGGCGAGGATTGAAGAGGATTGTGAGGGCTGCTGAGGTGAAATGCTCTCTGTGTTACCCACCATGTTGACGGACCGGTGGAAGAGAGGCTCTGGATGTTCATACAGGAAGTTTATAGTTTCAGCCCGCCGCAGAGCACCACCGCGCGGCCAATAGCGACCACTAGCGGCGGGGGTCAGCATCGAACGTACAACAAATACATATTAACACTTTTCCTTCTTACTTTGTCAATAATAGATATGAAGAAATGTCAGAATTAAAAGAAAATCTCTTGTCAAAATGCCATAATTCTTATTTTACTTAATTAAATGAACACATGCAATGCAATATATGTAATCATATCATATTTAAAAATGGGAAATGCATCAGGTCAAAGTGTTCAAGGTGATGTTTCTGTGGTTGAATGTGAACAGCCAGGCACTGAGAGTGAGGACAGAAAGAACCCACCTAGAGCTAGGAGAAAGCCAATGCACTTACAGGATTATGAGCAGGGGTGCACATAACTTTTTTGCCCTGGTTCTCAAAGGAGCACCTGGAGATGTTGCTTGGTGCTCATCCTTAAAATGAAATAAACATCAACTTTTTAGGGGGTCTTGACTTTATTTGCCAGACACAGGGCACTGAACACACATGCAGAGGTGAACACAAGACAACATTAGCATGACCAGTAATCCTACAAGCTGTCATCACTACCCTCCTGACTGTTCTCCTCACTGTCTTCCTCTCTGTCAGCCCTGGTAGCTGATGATGTAGGTCTACTACTTTCTCTCTGGTTGAGTCTGCGATTAGCTGCTTGCATCCACAAGTCAAAAGCTGGTTTTGGGTCGAAAGTCTCTGTTGTCATCTTAGACAAGTGGATGTAATCAAATAAGTATGTGAACATAACCAATAACCTACCATAGCCAATAACAAATCAATATAACTTATTTTATTTATGTTGTTCATTCATATCTTATTTTACCTTAACATTTATTTATGCATTTTTTTTTATCTCTCCAGTTTTAAAGGATATTTTTGGTTACTGTCTTATAGTATTCTTTCACACAAACATACGGGTTTTGGTTTTGAGCCGAGGGCGACACCGTACTTCCGGTATCCGCCATTTTACGCGAGGTGCAAGCAGGCCGAGGGTTTAGCCGTGTTACTTACTTGTTAGATACAATACTTTGAAGATGGTGAAGTGGTGTAGTGCTGGGACTTGTAGAAATCATCATTCGATGACAGATAGTGATGGGAAATCCAAGTTTTCTTTCTTCAAGTTCCCCAGTCACGAAAAACAGCCAGGACGGAGGGCCCAGTGGGCGAGAGCTTGCGCTCGCGTCGATGCCATCACTCACAAGCCGTGGAAACCCAAGGACACCGTGCAATATGTGTACATCTGCTCGGCACACTTCATTTCTGATAAGTTGAAGTTGTATTTCAGAACAACTACTATGTTTATGATTAATCTGATGTCCGCCCCTAGCCCGGACTGGACCAAACTACTGTTTACCTTCCTCTACAGCAGAATCATAGCATGGTAGCATAGCATCATGGTTGGTCTAGTCAGCCCCACAATTGTAGTTCCTATCTACCAATGACAATGTACATACTCCCTGCTACTTTATTGTCCATATTTCACAGAGTAAACTGAGCCACACATTAGCTATGACAAGTCATTAATGTGTGAATGTGGAGCTAAAGCGATGTCCAGACATTAACCAGTTCAAGAGGAAATACAGAGAAATTATTTTCTCGAGGTACAGGGATAGGGAAGGTGTTTGACTATGTGTTTATGTGTGAGTATGTACGTGTGCATATGTATGTGTACATATATATATGTCAGTGTATGTATGTGTGTGTGTGTGTGTGTGTGTGTGTGTGTGTGTGTGTGTGTGTGTGTGTGTGTGTATGTATGTGTATGTGTATATGTATATATATCAATCAACAGGTAAAGCAGATCAATAATGATAATGACAAGACTAATGAATAATAATGATAATTATAGCAGATCATAGATTATAAATAAATCATTTAGGGACAAGGGGGTGAGATTAAATAAGTTATACTTCTTCTCACTCCTTTTCGAACACTAGACATGGCACTGTTTATGTTGCAAATGCTGTTGTTGTAAATGTAATTTTTTGTTTTGTTTTAATTTCTCTTGCATGACTATGCACTACAACATTTGTTCTGTTTTGTAAATTATTTCTTTTACTTGTTCGAAATAAAATGTATCAATCAATCAATTATAATACTTGAGTTAGCTGTCGGGGATACTAGGATCAGGGAATGTGTACCACCTCATAGATGACATCAGGGAGGTGATATATCTGTATATATCACCTCCCTGATGACACTTATCTTACTTTAGACTAGAGGAGGCACACTGACTCCAAGTTCTCTTATCTGTTTTTCAGGGCAGCCTTCCAAGGAGCCCGGCCATCCAGATTACATCCCGACCAAATTTGCTACGCCTGGGAAACTACCAACAGCTGACAAGTGCCAGAAACTGAGAAGGTTTGCGAAAATTCATGTATATACTGATGATATGCCTGGCCTAAATCGAACACTGTAATACTGTTGTGATAGATGTGAAGTATACAATTTTACAATAACATACCAGCTGTGGGTAGGTGTTAGTTATCACCCCTGGTAGGGCTGTGCAATTAATCGTATTTTAATATAAATGATATATATAAATATAAATGTATAATTTATTTAATTTATGTTTGTATTGGTTTTTCAGTTGAATTATACGTTCAGGGTAATCAACAGTTAAAAAGATACTGTTCAAATTATTATTTGTATTTGTTTTAAAGTTCAATAAATAGATTTTTTCAAAGTCAATGAATAATCGTATTTAATAATCGTGATATCAATTATTGACCCAAATAATCGTGATTATGATTTTTGCCATAATCGCACAGCCCTAACCCCTGGTATATGTAATGTTTGTGTGTATTAGGTTCTCGAATGCTATGTCTCGTCATGGAAAGAAGATGCTTGGCAAAGAAAATGGGCCCTCAACAAAGAAGTGCAGAGTGGCTTACGCAGTCCCTGTTGGAGTGCAGGACACATCCCTTGCATCCTCCGAACCTCCACAGCATCAACCTACTCCTGATTCGCCTCAACCGTCGACCAGTTCAGTGTCTCCACCTTCCGTGCCTCAACAGATGCTCTTTGATGAGATCTCTGCACTCAGGGCGGAAAGAGATGCTGCTCTTGCTGAGAGGGACCATGCTAGGGCCACCCTCAACTCTGTCCAGCTGTCTTCGAACACTGTTGCTGACAACAATGAGAAGTGTCAGTATTACACCGGACTAACTTGGCCCATTTTTCTATCCACTTTTCAATTCTTGCTAGTTTCGATGACATGCAAAGGTACCCCATCCATCCCCTACATTGATCAGTTTTTTTATATGATAGTTAAGTTGAAACATGGCATGAAGTTTGAGTATTTGGCAGACCAGGTAGGCATCCCTCAGAGCACGCTCATAGATCATTTTTGGAAGTGGATGGATGTAGCCTTTGTGAAACTGAAGCGTGTTGTTAGTTGGCCAGAGAGGGAGCGCATATTTTCTAATATGCCACCTGCATTCAAGGCTCTGTACCCTAGACTCACTTGTATCATAGATTGTTTTGAAGTGTTCATTGAATCTCCAGGGAACCTTAAAGCTTGTGCCCAAGTCTGGTCAAATTATAAGCGTCACACCACTATGAAGTTTCTTATTGGATGTAACCCACTTGGTGCCATTTGTTTTCTGTCTGATGCCTGGGGTGGGAGGGTGAGCGATGTGGAAATAGTACATCAAAGCGGATTCTTGACTAAATGTGACCATCACCCGGGTGACCAAGTTCTAGCGGATAGGAGGTTTACGCTGAAGGAAGAGTTTGCGGGTATTGCTGGTGTAGAGCTGCTCACACCAGCATTCACTAAAGGGCAGAGTCAATTACCAGCCAAAGACCTTGAATCCTCTAGGAAATTGTCATCGGTTAGAATTCATATTGAGCGTGTGATTGGCCTAATGAAAAACCGTTTTGTTATTTTGCAAGGCACTTTGCCGATTCAACATATTAAATCTCTGAAGGATGAGGCAGATCAGGTAGACAAATCAAGTGCAGATAAGATAGTTGGGGTATGTGCAATTTTGACTAACCTTGGGGGTGGGATTGTATACAAGGAATGCATTTGTATGTGTGGTTGCTAGTTCACATGCTTACATTTAGAGTTGACCATGTTATATTTTATATGTTGATTCTGTGATACTTTACCTAGGATTCCATCCATATTTTCTGTATTATTTTATTATTTATTATAATTTTCTTTGTTCAAATATTGACCTGGTGTCTTTGTATAAGAGTTTCATGGATTTGTTTGTGTTCCATAAAGAATACATGTTGCCAACATTATCGTTTCAATTGTAATTTAATCTGGGCCTATGAAGGACTACAATGATCCACTATATGAGATCACATACGAGCAGAATTACAAGAAAAGCCTTTATTAATCATTAATATTAATTAATTAATAATCCTTCTCGGATATAAACATTTATTTCGGGCAACTCCAAACATGGCAGAATTGGACATACTACATTAATGGCAAGATTACGCCCTTTGCATACAATTGTTCACAACAATAACTGAGCCTATTGAAAACCCCATGTGCCTGCCATATATAAATCAACATACAAATACAATGAACTACAAGTCCACACTGAGAGGGAAACGTTCACTGTCTCCTTTGTCGCTTTCTCTTGGTGTTGCTCGACTTGCAATTGTCGCAGTACCACGTTTTGGACCTAGGCTCCTTGGTAATGCTTTGCAGTCACAGTCAGCAGCAACCACATCGCCACGCTGGGTAACGGCTGCCCATGGATGATGAGGCGGTTCATTCACACGGAATGACGGTGTCACGTCAGCTCTCAGGACAGTAAGGGTTGTGTCATCCGGAATCATATGCCTCACTGTCTGCACCCAACCAGATTCCAGCAGCTTGTAGGAGTCTAGTGCTTTATAGTTCTTCATAGCTTCTCTAGTGTGGACACCTTGTTGAAACACAAAGGTAAAACATACACTGTCACCTTATAATTAAACATCAAACATAGTAGGATATACTACCTTTGATTTCACA